CACACCTCAATTCAATTCTTTTCCACCACCACTTATGCTGAGGCAATTTCAGAACCTGTGTGCCCTTGTATACGGTATATGTGTATCACTCATCCTACGTGCTGGGATACACCACTTGCATCCATTGATTAGGTGTCTTGACTACTCTCTGTGGATGATTGCAATCATCACTGTTGGAGGATGGGTTCTACCCATGCTATGCCTCTGGTTCTCCAAGCCTGAACCAATCCAAATATCAATGTACATTCAGATAGCTTGTACACCATCTTCTAGACAAATGTGTACTGATAGTCCCCCATGCTTCTCAGCTCTGTGACTTCTGTCAGGGTCACTCCTCCAACAATTCCTAGAAGCCTTGAACGGCAATCCAGTTGGACGGCCCAGTCTGTCACTTAACCCCGAAGGCATTAGCACAACTTGGGAAAAGCGGAATTCACCAGTCCTAGACCAAAAATCACAACATACATCCAGATGCATCAAGAGGGAATCGAACCCCCGGCGGGTCGAACTAATGTTCGCATATGGCAACGACCCAGGTTACCACTACCCCATTGATGCTTGTGAGTAGTTTTATCTGCATTGTATTGTAAAATGCAAAGTAATGGACGATCTACGTTGAATTTCAGGGTATCGACAGACGTTCACCGCACGAATTGTTGATACTTCGGTGACGATGGCAAGAGGGAGAACCACAAGTAAATGTGATGCTACTGTGCAGCTATCGCAACCATGGATACCAAACAAAATCGGATAAGCGTCCATTCTCAAACGACTCAGCCAATGTGTGTGAAATGTATCGCGAAAATATGCACCAGACCCAGACGAATCCATCGCAGTAACCAGCCTCACCAGTCCGAGTCTAAACTCCACGGCCTAGTTTTCAACGAGCCCACTCTATGAGCACGACTCAGAGGTTAAGGATGATAGGCGCACACCGGGGGACGGGGCTTTGACCGTGAAGAAGTGGTCTTCGCCTGACTCCGTCGGACAGGTGTCCTTCCTCCCAATTTCTCATGCATCCCGGGGGACGTGGCCGTGATCGTGGAGAAGTGATCTTGGCCTGACTCCGTCGGGATCTCGTCTCATCACTGTAGTAAGTACTGTAGAGCTTCTTTTTCCCTAGGGGCAGGGGCCCGTTTCGTTGGTGATGCCGCTTGTCTTCATGGTGGCTAGCTGGACCCCTGCCCTGACGTGCGGGCTACCTGGCACCATGGGACTAATTGTGGCCCTCGGTGGATGGTGTGGATCCACAGGGTCTCACTACTCTGCTGTTGGTCATAATCTCCCGCAAGGAGCCCGGGCACCCGCGACACTGTCAGATTGTATGTCCTGCTCGTGTAGTAGTCTCAATCTCTTGTTGGCCCACGGTAGCGTAGTATAGTGTACAATACGGGTACAGAGAGACGTAGAGTACTGCGCGAGCGGGGTAGGGGCATGCGGTATGGGGTGCCGCATGCCTACCCAGCTGTTTCTTAAAGGGACCCCCGCCCTAAAATCACATCACATCACATCCAATCGCAATTGACCCGTTCTACCCCAGAAAACTCATCGGCACCCAGGCAAACCCAAACCCAGATCCAAGAAAATCGACTCACAAAGTTATTAATCTCGCAGCAAACAGGCTGCGCGTTATATCCCGCGCTCCCCGCTCCGATGCCTGTGATAGGAGAGCACGTCAAGCCGACGAGGACGTTGATATCTTCGAGAATTTCGGACACAAGGAAATCTCTGGCGATCCAAGTAGAAGAAGAACGTTGCGAAGATAGAATTCCTTCCGTCGATGTTGCAAAGGCGGAGGTGAAGGTCTAAACCAAGGTTAATCGGCCCGGTGTTTCCGATCAACCATCTCCCTAACGCTCTCCACCTCCGCCTGCAGGCGTTTTTCCAAGCCCTCCTCTTCTTTCCTTCAACGACTAACACGCTGCCCCAGCCACCGTCTCGAGGCTGCTGAAACCACGCTCCAACTGGTCCAGCTGTCCTCGATCAAGGACGGAACAATGCAGATAGTCAGCCCAATGGGCTACAGTGATCCGTCTTCATCAATGGCCAGTCTCAGTCTGGAGCAATCATCTATGTCGATACCAGTGGAGGATCCGTTCGGCATTGTCTACGTGATTGAGAATCGCCAGCAGTTTTGGAGCGGTGTGTACCTGTGCAACTTGTTTGTGCAGAGAACAGACGGAGCTGACGATGAAGCGCCCATACAGAATTGGAGGACATGCTGGTGTTTCCTCATGATTTATCGCCGACGTTGGTGTTTCTAGACTCGACGCTGCGGCGATTTGTAGCGCTATGTTCTACCTACCACCGTATGTGCATAGTCTCTCTCGGATCGCGTATGGAACTGACCAGCCTCGTAGACCAGTACCTGAGCAACCGCTTACAGATGGAGCACGCATGCGCACTGCTGTTAAACTCCGAACTATTCGCGTTCCACTCAGAGCGAATGTGCGATAACCTTGTGGAGGACGTGCAGAACGTGTGTACTTCTTTCTCTCCTTTCCAGCCCCTCACTGACCCACTTTGACCAAAGACAACGGATCCACACGTCCTTCTCATTACGTATACCGTCCTACTGTTCTACGGCCGACGACGCCCAGAGTTTTTCCGATCTCACCGCCGCTGGAAACCACTTCTACCTCTCATTATGGACCACGTCCTCGTAGAGATTGACCTGGACCACGAGATAGAACCAGGCCACGTCCACGCCACCACCGCGATAGTCGAAGCCAAGATGAGGAGTTTAGCCATCATGCTGCTGTATGAGGTATGCAGGCTGCAGAAGTTGGACGCGAAGGATTTACGTACGTTTTTTTCCCTTACGCGTGCCCGGACGTTGCTCATGGGTAGTGCTCTGCAGGGGTGTTCGATGAGCCGTTTGTCGACCATTTATTTGAGCTGGTGGAGCAGACAAGAGACGTGGCAGACGAGTCGTTCAATTACTCGGTTATCAAGTTGCTTGTACGCTCACTTGACCTCTGGCATGGCCTTCTGGATCTCATTCTCTGCCGCATCAGGTTGCTCTTAACGAACAGTTCATGGTCGCTGCCCTCCAGCAGCAGGCTCCACGTGCAGGAACGTCGGAATCCGCGACTCACATCGAGAATCGCGTTCTTAGGGTACTCACGAGGAGATTAGGAAGCAGCAGAACGTTCAGCGAGAATATGATATTCATGTTGAATCGAGCTCGTACGTCATCGCTGCCCTATGCCTAGCGATGATTGCACTTACCAATGGGCGATACAGAGCCAACGGCCGAAGACCTATGCATGCAGCTACTTGTCCTCAAGCTCCTCTACCTCCTTTTCAACACCCACGGTACAGAAGAGTTCTTCTATACCAACGACCTTTGCGTCCTCGTCGACGTCTTCCTCCGCGATCTCGTCGATCTTGACGAGTCGAACGAATCTGTACGTCGCCCCCTTTTCTCCTCCCAGCTTATCTCTGACCTACATCTTCCTAACTCAGCTCCGACACACCTATCTCCGCGTTCTACACCCCCTCCTCACTCGCACCCAGCTCAAATCCCGCCCTTACAAACGCGCACAGATCGTCAATGTCCTCGAATCCCTCGTCGCGCAGGAACGAATACGGGACGTCAGTGCGACGACGAAAAGGCTGGTAGAGAGGTGTCTAGGGGAGGCGTGGTGTGTGGGCTTGCGGACTAGAGATCTCGTGAGCTCGAGTTCGGCTTCCAGTGCGTCGAGTACTGGGGGAGGGACGGGGAGAGAGGAGGCAGAGGTGGACAATATCGTCACGCTGTCGAGGGAGAGGTCGATTACGAGTGCGGCGAAGTCGGGGAGGAAGGGAGGGTCGAAAAGGGGGATAATGGTGCAGGGTTCTGGTCCAGGGTCGGGGCCGTTGACGCCGCTGGCGGAGGGTCCGTCGCCGCTTGCTGCGTCTTCTAGCGTTGGCTTCGGGTCGGTCCTTACCCCTCTTCCGCCAACCTCCGCAAGGACAGCGCCACCGACACGAACAGGGACGCCCTGCTCGAGAAGAGGCTCGGAGTCCAGCGTTGGGGGCGGGAGTATAGTCGGTGTCGCACTCGCTAGTTCGTCGGGATCGTCCAGCTATTTCCCGGCGTCACCAAGCTTGCCGTCATCTCCATCGCATCGGCATCATGCAACGCCTGCGAAAAGGAAGGGGAGCGTGGAGAGCGCGTATACGGATAGTGGGGTCAGCTATGGGCATGGGCATGGGCATCATCATGACTATAACAGCGATTCGCCCTCTTCGAATTTGACACTCGTCCAACCTCCGCCAAGGCTGTCTTCGTCGTCCCACAGACCAGGACATATCCCACGGAGTCCACTCGCTAGCACGAACTTTGCTGCGTCGACGCCTGACTTGCTTAGTCCCGTCGCATCTTCAGCGACGGACAGGTATGCGTATGCGTCTTCTGCACATGCTTCTCCCACGTCAAGTTCGAACACTACCTCGATGCATGCGATCGGGATAGGTGGATCTTCGACGTATCCGGCGATAGGATCGTCTTCGTCAGGGCATAGAAGGACGCCCCCGCCTGTGCCGACGAGTGGGAAGAGGAGGAAGCCGCCTGCGGTGCCAATTAGGACTATTAATGTGGATGCCGAGTAGGCTGGAGATGGCTAGGGTGTAGGTCGAATGAGACGAGGGGGGTTGGGGTACGCGGTGTGGATATGGGCCTAGGTGGATGATGACTACTTTCTTGTCGCTGGAAACCATGGACATTAGACTTTTAGCTCCGGTCATGATGAATAGCGCCTGAGGAGAGTACTGTTTCTGTTGGATCCACCTGTAGCTCACTACTGCAACAGTTTTGGCTCTTCGCCTAGAGATGCATGTAATTTACATCGAATTACATGATGCATCATATCTGGTTAAGGTCGTTATCACACGCGTCTGAGTCACAACAGCTCGAGATCCTCATGTCTACCACCCGTGCCCACTCCGTCTTCCTCTGCCAGCATGATATGTCAGCGGGACATCCCATAAAGGCTACTCTTGGTCAGATCTGGACGCACCGACATATCTCACGATCCCATCAGGGTCTCTTGCATCCTCCTGCAGGAGCTCGAGGAACGCCTCAGGAATGATAGCGGTGTAGCCCTATCGATCTCCACAGTCAGAAAGCCATCTAGTGCTTGTCGAATCTGATCGTTTCTGTGCTTTCTTTAATGAAGGTGAATCGGGATTTGAGAGCGCCTCCTGCTGCTTGTAAGTCAGCTATGTTTCGATCGATCTCGTAGTCTTGGACGTGGGGTCGGAAGGCGACGATGTGTACTGTAAAAGAATTAATCATCGATCAGTGAGGCGGGGGGAGCATACTGGGAGGTCAGCAACTCCATGACGCTGCACGCACTTCCGCTGGGTGGAACCATTTGTCAATGGGATTCCTTGGAGTCTGAGGGTATCAGTGAGAGAAGGCGAGCTTTGGACCATGGGGACTGCTGCAACTTTATATACTTACGCTCACAATTTGCCTAGATTCCCTGTCACACATTCAATTCAGTCAGCTGAAGATGTAGCCCAACTCACTTGCACCTGTATCGGTTCGAAGACGTGCAGTGCCGACGAAG